GTCTGAACACGCGTAGCCGCTCAGCATCTCGACCTGAAGCCTTTCACTAAGCTCGGGGACTATCTCCCTGACTTGGATGGATGGCACGACATGTTGTGATTGTCGATATATGACAATGTATCCGTTTAGTCCATACTTTATGTATGACGAAACTTTGAGTTATGCACGATGAAACTTTATTTGTGATGTAGTTAAACCGTCCTCCTCGACTAGCGAAGATCACTCTAGTTAGGGCATTGGGTATGATGAACTTTGTTATTTATGCTTATGATATGTTGCTTCTATTTTTGCCAACTCTGTCTATTTCTGTTGCTCAACTATATATGTTGCATATCATCGACTCATGTAACGATGCATGTGCATAGATCATCGATGGCGAAGAAGTGCTAGCCAGGAGTATACGACGAGTGGCCGGAGTGTCAGGCCCAGGTGTACAGGTTTCCGGTTTCCGAGCGACAGTCAGTAGATAGTTTAGGTTCACGCTAGTGCGAGAGAGGGATACGAACTCGTGTACTGCATAGTTCCACTCTCACTCATAGTGATAGCTCTTCTCGCGTATATCATTGTTTAGATGGATGACGATGTAGTTGCAAGAACTTGTATCGCTATTTTCGAGATGATGATGAGAGACCACTTTGTGTTGGATGATGATTATGATGATGAGATGATTTGATGTTACGATTACATTTGTATGTGTATGATATGCTAAAGATTATTGTATAAAGTCAGTTCAAATACAAAACAAATATGCAAGAAAAAAAACTAATAAAACTAACAATAGCAAGGGGAGTAGAGTTAGCGGCAACGCGCCCTTACTAGTAGCGCACTCTGTGTTAAAGCACTGCAGATATTAGCAGTAGCACGTTGTGCTAAAGATCACTGCTGCTAGCCATGCATAGTAGTAGCGTGGGCCAACACGCGCTATTGATACATGTTAGCTGTAGCGTCGTATCAATAGCGCGGTGCCCCGCGCTACTGATACACCTAATACGCGCGCTACTGCTAGGCTTTTCCCTAGTAGTGCACCGCCGCCACCCAAACCCGTCCGCCAAGGTGACCCAGGGCAGGGGTGCAGCAAGGGCGTCGGCGACGTGAAGAAGGAGGAGACGACGGCGGCAACGACAATGGTGACTACAGCGCCTTCGGCGCATTTTTTGGCCTGTAGCAGGGCGGCGGACAGGCCTATAGGAGGGCGGATGGCGGCTGCGTAGCTATGTTTCTTAAGTTTTAAAATTATGTTTTTAAGTTTTTATGTACAAACATCAATGAAAAACGTCTGGTTTGGCCGAATATGTCTCTTGTTTGGCCGAGTTTGTTTTTCAAAAAAAGGCGTCTGGGTTGGGCTTGGGGCGGCGGTTTTGAAACCGGCCGCCCCCATGTCGAAATTTTCGCCGGCGTGCCCCCAGACGACGCTATTTCAGGCCCCTAGGGGGCCGAATGGCTGGAGATGCTCTCAATATGAGCGCCGTGAGGATGAGTTTGACCACCGCCGCTGCTTGATACCTGTAGCCGGACAACCTCGCTTCTCGAATGTGCCCGCTCCGTGGTCTTCCCCATGAAGTCCTGCGGCGATGTATCGTACAGCAGTGATGGCACCACAACGTGGCCATGGACGGCATCATCCACTCGCTTGTGGTCCTGTTCCTCCAAGATCTCACCATCGCCAGCAGCTCAAGATCTTGCACCCCAAGTGCTTGATAGAATGCCCACATTAGAGATAAATTAAAGGGGAGAAATAGATTGCCACATGGACTAGAACCAATCAAAACCGCGTCACGTCAGCACAAAAACAACTTTGGTGTGATTGAGGGATGAAACTTGTCCGGTTTCAAAAATTAAGGGTGCATTGTCCGATTTCAAAGTTGAGGGACCAAATCTAGACTTCGTCGAAAGTTGAGAGACGAAAGGTATACTTTTCTCTTAAACATATATAGTTTTTTACTCTTTTAGAAGAAGACTATCGCCTGATTTGGTGAAGCAATGGGAAGAGTTTAAGAATGAGGTGATGCTTGTTCGTAGAAATGAACTTCTTGATAATGTGTTCTGGAGGTTTAATAAACCCCTAGTTTGTTCTAGTAAGTCTATGTACAAATGGTTGAAAAAGGACTTGGCTGGAGCTAATTATAAGTGGATATGGAAGGCTAACATACCTCTAAAAGTCCCAATTTTCTTGTGGCAGTTATTTCAAGATGTCGCGCTTAATAGAGAAGTATGAAAAGAGATATGGTGGCTTGGCAATCCTAGTCGCTCATTTTGTGATCAGCTGGAAATGCCCCAGCACTTATTTTTTCTGTGCCTGGTTGCTAGAGTTGTCTGGAGAACAATAGGTTCAATGATGAGGACTCTTTATGGCAATATTATATTTGGACTTATACTTTCTTACCAGATTATCTGAATCTTTACACTGCTGGTCTGGAAATGATCTTCTTTACAACATAAATGGGTCAATACTCCCTTTGAGATAGTGTTTACGACAAGTGCTTTTCTGATTTACTGGGCAGGTTATAGAAGTCGAATGTGATGGGTGTTGTCAACTATGGAGCGGAGCTGCCGAAAGAGAACGCTTCACAGATGCTGCTTTTGTGTGGCCCGCCTATTTCTGGACCGGTCAACTAGGGAGAAGCCTAGGATGTTGGGTTGCAGGTACTGCGAGATGATATCGCCCCTTTTGCTGAAGCGAATCGTTGATGGATGTTGCTTCTCTTTTGATGTCATGTTGCATGTATTATGTAGTCTCTGGTACTTTCCAGGTTCCTTTGGTGGGTTGTATGGGTGATGTTTGATTTTTGCCGCATGGTCTATGCCTACATACCAGGCACAGGCAATGGGTTTCCAGATATTGCCCCGAGCTCGCCACTTCTCCTTCCTGCCTCTTGTCCTTTGGAA